TCCTCTACAGCTTGTCCCTTAGCCATTGTGTTGTCAACCTTTCTTCCTTTTCTCTTTGCCACAGTTGGGCGGTCCTGGCCTTATCTCATAACAGCGATTGGGTCATCATGACACTCTTTCCTTTTATTCCTTCTCCATGTTTCTTCTGACCCCTGAAAATCCATTTAGGAAAGGAAGAGAAACAAACAATGAATGAATGGTTTCTTTGACAGTGTCTACTGCCTGTTTCCATCCATCTCATTTGCTTCTCCCCCCTAGTCCTTCAGTGAATGTAGTTTTAATAATTCCCACAATCCTTTTCCATTAGAACAATGGGTCTTAATCTACTGGAAAGTTCTTCTTACTTATGTTAGTTTTATCCCCACCCATTCATCCCTGATAGGTACCAACAAATTGCGTGGGGGAGGTTGGGTTGGCTTGGTTTAGAGATAATGTGCAAGAATCATCTCAGCGTGAATGTCCTGGTATATTTAGAGGCCATCTGGAACTACGCCACATTTAAATAGTTGTTCAGTATCAGTAAAGGAGTATTTATGCTTTAAATTTAAATTGTTAAACATCGAGGCATTCCAAATGAAGGCCAACTATAAGCTGCCAACATTTAAATTTACCAATGACTTCCAGATGCCACGTTGCGCAGAGAGAAGGAAAGCAACCTTTCAACCAGTTCTTGGTATTTCTGTCTGCATGATTTGGACTGTTCTCAGAGTGGACATTGTTGTGTTTTGTGCACGAGGTAGGACAGGGCAAGAGGACAATTTCTTTTTTTTTTTTTTTTTAAAGATTTTATTTATTTATTTGAGAGAGAGAGAATGAGAGACAGCACATGAGAGGGGGGAGGGTCAGACGGAGAAGCAGACTCCCTGCCAAGCAGGGAGCCCGATGCGGGACTCGATCCAGGGACTCCAGGATCATGACCTGAGCCGAAGGCAGTCGCTTAACCAACTGAGCCACCCAGGCGCCCAAGAGGACAATTTCTAACTTAAATTCTTTAGCTTGTCCCATGGAACCTGTCAGCTTTCTATCACTGCAGCTTAATCTGTATGGAATTCCTAGTATCTGAGTTTGTGGCTGCTGCAGCCAATGGCATGAATTGGATGGGCTGTCTTAGAAAAGTGAAGCTCTGTGGACTTTTAAATTTTTTTAATTTTCAAAATTTTTAAATTTTTTTGAGAGAGAGATGGAGAGCAAGTGGGAGGAGGGGTGGCAGAGGGAGAGGGAGAAGAGAGTCTTAGGCAGGTTCCACACCCTGTGCGGAGCCTGACACAGGGCTCGATCTCACGCCCCTGAGGTCATGACCTGAGCTGAAACCAAGAGTCGGACGCTTAACCGACGGAGCCACCCAGGCGCCCTTGGGCTAATTTTTAATTTTTAATTGGATAAGAACCATGTATAACTCCAAAAGTCATAAAAACAGAGGACTGGGTATTCAGTTTGTCCTTTTTCTGTGTCCCTGAAAGACTTCATTGGAGTCATTTTGATGTTGCTGATCTGTAGCTACATGCTGTTTTTATTGGCATTTACCCGCTTTTGTTTGGAGTATAAAACAACCTTGAATAAAAATTTGGACGACAATTAAAAAATTTTTTTTTAGCTTCAAGAATATCTATTTCTTCACTGTGGAAAACAGCTTCTAATGTAGGGTAGTAATTCTTGTTTTGGTTTGAAGGGTTTTCTCTATATTTTGTTCCAAATAAAGTAAATCTTGTGATAATTTGAAAATACTTTATTATTGGAAAAGCTATGTGGATTGATTTTCAAAAAGTATAATTTGTCCCAAGAGCATGTAATAACTGGAGCTAGGTTAGTGAAATAGTGACAAGTAAAAGAGCTCAATAGTCCCATAGTGAAAAAATTAGTGATTTTAATGAGTTCTGATATTTGGTTGAAAATGAAACTTTTAAAAAAAACTTAAGGTTTGGAGTGCCTGGGTGGCTCAGTCATTAAGCGACTGCCTTCGGCTCAGGTCATGATCCCAGGGTCCTGGGATCGAGCCCTGCATTGGGCTCCCTGCTTGGCAAAGAGCCTGCTTCTCCCTCTCCCACTCCCCCTGCTTGTGTTCCCTCTCTCGCTGTGTCTCTCTCTGTCAAATAAATAAAATCTTCAAAAAAACAAAACAAAGAAACCCTTAAGGTTCTTGAGATGATTTTCTTAAATATTTTGTGGTCTTGTGTGAGCTTTTCTACCCCATTCTTTACGAGGAAAAATAAAAAGGTTTTCCGAACTCAAATAAACATCAGTCTTATTTAACTTTTAAATTTATGATATAAATAAAAGTTTCCTGTGATTCAAGCCATTTATCAATACATTTGCTTTCTGAACATTCTAATTACGAGAGATTTTTATGTATAATTGGTGTCACCTTTGGGCTTCCATTTTCCATTCTCCTCCCTCTATTAAGGAAAGCTTTTTTCTCCCTCCTTAATTTGAAGATCTAATTGGCTTTTATGAAACGATTCATGAATCAGGCAGGATCTCATCTAGCAAGGAGAGGGGAGCTCCCAAGGACAGTTTCATAAAGGGAAGGGAAGTTTGTTCTTGTTCATGTGTTCCAATTTGGGTGATTATTCTCCCTTAATATTAGAAAGTCCTGGCTGTACTTATTTCCAGTGATAAAAATCTTATCCCTACACATTGTTTTGTTCCATTAGAGAAGCGTTCCCGGTCGTGACTCTTACTATTAAGAATTCTTTCATTTGAGTCATTGATGATAAGTATTCTCCAACTTGAACATTTATTGAATTAATTGAGTTAAAATAACTAATTTGAAGTGACCACTGTTGTAGGCGTGTGCTTGTGCTTAATCCCCTTTCTGAGTCCTTTAGTCCTTTTGAATTAGTTTATTTTATTACATGCTCACATATAATACGTGTTGCAGTATAATCCTAAAACTTCTGTATAATGAAGAGTTTGGTCACTTGCTCAGCCCCAAACAATTCTAATGCCGTACCAGCAGCTACTCCTCTACCTGCTCCCTGTCCCTCGGACCAGATGTTCAGAGAGCACGAAGAGATGGTGATCCGTTGACCAGTGTCCAGGAGCGGAGTCCATTTCCTGGTAGACCAGTAGGCCATCCAGCAGCCCTGTGTTCTGTTTTGTACTACTGGGGTGGCATTAAAGAATAGTTTACAGATGAATAGATTTTACTGCTGTGCTGATGAGCTCAAAGGTTTGAGCTGTGCCAGGAACTCTCTCCATTCCGGGGCACGCTGATCCGGTCCAGGATTGAGAATTAGATACCGGTCCCGTGCTGGGACTTCAGTCAGGCCTCCAGTCCATGCAGTAGCATGCATCCTTTCTGTAGCTGCTGCAGTACGTGTAGAAGTTGTCCTCAAGAGTCAGTTGTTGATGATAACGATCGAGGTTTTGGCTGTAATATGCTTTCCAGTAGTTGAAATACAAGCATTTGTGCAAATGGAAATTTAGAAAGTCGTATAACCCGTTTGGGGAAACAAATTAGGAAAGGGGACATCTTTTATAACAGTGTCCTGTGAGTGTGAGTTAGTGTATTTATACTTGCCCATATGGCTCTACAAGTGAAAAGAGAAAAAAGTTTAAACCTTTTAATAGTGAGAATTCTTTGGTTGGTGGAAAGTTTCCCCAGAGTATCATTTCCTTTTTCTTCCCCATTTGTCTCTAGTTACCAGCTCTCTGTCTTTTAAATGTAGATATATGAGGTTGTTAAGTTCTTATTAAAACATTTCACAGCTATCCTTTTAGTGTTTTTGTTTTAAAAACAGGAATAAATGTAATTAAAATGTTTACCAAAATTATCGATGTCATGGTTTTGAACTAATAACAAATTACATCTCTGGGCTATTTTGACTTTTTAAAAATACACTTTTTGAGCAAACATTATCCTGATGTTGATTTAAAATAAAGCTCATTAATCTCCAAACTATGAAAATACAGAAATGAGAGAAAGGAGGCAATTTTTCTTAATTTTAGAAGTATCGGTCTTATTTTTGTCGTTATTTTTTGTTCTTCTTATGTATTTACCATTTCTTGTTTATCTGGGTAGTGATTTTCAGTGTAAAAGTCTTAAATAAATCAGTGTATACAAAGACGGATGCTAGTCAGTAAATTTTATTTGAAATTTATTGAAGTGCTGTAGCTAGCAGGCTATAAATTTTAAATAGCAAAATTAAATGTGTTTGTATTTGGAATATATGGAATTCCTCATTTAGTGGGGAGAGAGGAAAATGCACGAACCTGCTTCTATTCCTTCTGCAACTGCTTATCGTCATGTTACGTGGAATACATCTTTTGTATCTCTCTGTGCCTCTGGTTTCTCTTCTGTAAAATGGGCTCCAGAATTTAATTGTCTGCCTTCATCCCTTTCAAGAACATTGAGAACAGATACCTTGCAGTCTTTGGAAGACAAAATGCCACCTTGTGTAGTTTTTGATATACTAACGTGCCTTGTAAGTATGTACTATGTGTTGTACACAGTGGTGCGCTGTGACATTGTGGACTTTTTTTATGAGAAAAAAGTTGTTTGCATGCCTCGATGTGAAACTCAAACTTCATTATTCATGTTTTACGTTTTCTGAACTTGATTCTTTCCTATCTCTGTCTCGTGCAGCGGGAACTGTCCCTCTGAACGTCTCCTGTGTACCCTGCTGTTCCCGGGTGGGCAGTGGGCGGTGGGGGTACTGGTTTTTCGCGGCAGTCTTTTAGAAGTGTGCAGAGAAATTGTACAGGTGGGTTAGGGAAATACCGCAGGTCTGCCGTGTACAAAGAAGAGGGCCTCATCAGTGTAGGAACAGGCAAAGAGCCCTCCCTCATCTGTAGGTTTTCTTCCACATGTTCCTACTGCCCTCCATTCTGACCCATGGGGTGGAGAGTCAGGTAGAACTTTTTGTTCTCAGCGTATAGAAAATGTGGTGAAGGGGGGAAATTGCAGCATAGGATTTGGGAGGCCGGGAACGCTGTCTGTGTGCTGCACCTACACTGATTCCCATTGTGACCTGTTCTGGACCATTTTCCATCTCTATCGAATGAGGATGCTGGGGGTAAGGTTGCCAGGGAGCGAGGAGGGCTGTTCTTGCATTGAATACCTAGATTCCATACAATAAAGCTATCTGTGAAGCTGATTATGCACATGAAAACTGTTTAAAGTAAAGCTCCTGACGCTTTTCTTTATATTTGCATGTGAGGGTTAATTTTCACTGCTTAGGAACTTTGTTACATAACTTCCAACGTCATCTGTGGATGCTTGTGGTTAAAAAGCCCTGTGTCCTTTAAAGAATTCCTAAGTGCTATTTTGTTTAAAAAAAAAAAAAAATCCTAAGTGCTATTTTGTTTTTCTGTGATAAAAATTGTTCTTGTAAAGTCTAAGGAAGATGATAATTTTTATGTCTGGTTAGTATTTATGACGTTTGCTTAGAAATTTTTAGTCTTGTCGTGGTAGTGGTTTTTCTCAGGTTTCTAAAGTTGTTTTATGTTTTTGTGACATCTTTTGTCATTCTTTTCCAGAGAATTCGGTCAACAGTGGATGAAAAAGAACAAAAACAACTTCTTATGGATTTGGATGTAGTAATGCGGAGTAGTGATTGCCCATACATTGTTCAGTTTTATGGTGCACTCTTCAGAGAGGTAGGAATAAACAATTTGGGGTTTTAGCTGACGAATAAATACCTCATTGGAATAAATAAGAGGATGGCAGGCTTAGATTCTGATCTTCAGCTAATTGTCATACATGAGCAATAAGCTGATTTCCCAATATTTTAGTATATAGGCTGTGAAAATCTACACATTCATTTCTGGCACTCATTGCTCCTTAGTTAAGGGGTGAATCTCATACTTTTCAAATATATATTTATGGCTGTCATTTGTGAATCCCACATCTCCTTTCTTCACTTGTAGTTTCTGTTCTTTAAGACCCCGACAGATCAGCTGACTTCTGAATGTTAACGCTTTGCCGTAGGTTGAGCTCTCTCTCTCTCGGCTTTGAACTCCCTCAGTGTTGCCCCCACCCCCCTTTTAAAAACTTTTATTTATTTGTATCATCAGCTGTATCTGCATTTAAGGTAAGCATTTACTCGCCCTCAGTACAGCCCGTGAGGAACTTCACAAGTACGGTAGACATTCTCTTAGCTAATCTTGTTATCCAGATCTATCCAGTAGAGACTGCATGGTCTCGGGATCATGTGTCTCCTTTTGGCCTCTGGTTATTCTGTGTGCTGGCGTAGCTCATCACTTCTGCCTCCAGCTGTCAAACCCACATCCTCATTTCCCATTATCCCACTGCCTGAAGCAGGGAAGGGAGGTAGGGCGGCGGGTAGAGCTGGAGCTGGGCCTGAATGAGACACTTTATGGTGTCAGGACAGTCCTCACACTCTTGTGATACTTAGGTGAGGAGGACTTCAGCTGGATGAATCCCAGAGCGCTTTTAATACTCTTTATAAAATACCATTCTCACTCTGAAAATGTCAGGATTGTGCTGGTGGGGTCCTTATGAGCTAGTGAGAACCCCCCCTCCCTTCTTTTTGGGACAGGATCACAAAGTATGTATGTAGCTTTGGGGGTTTTGTTGTAGTTACTAACTTAAAAAATACTGGGTTGTAAGACAGGACTGACTGTCACACTGACTAGAAATATATGAAGTCTTGTCGTTGGAGACGACCTTTGAGGTTAGTCAATTAATTCCCCCACTCAGTCCCTACGTTTTTATTTATTTGTTTTTCTGTGCTCCTAATAGGTAGCGCTAGTAGGTGGAAGCGTCCATTGCTTTGCTGAGTCACTAATTAATCACTGTTAATTCTAGACTCCTGTAGTTTCTTTCTACTTCTGTCCTGGTACTTTTTATGACTCAAATCATCGTTTTTGTGCCCAGATACACCGGTAGTACCTTGCGACAGTACGCAGTCATGTATTCAGGGCCATACCTGTATTCTGGACTGTGCTGTTTGTAAGATCACAGATCTGGAACTTTCTTCATGTTGCACAAGAGTCTCCCTTCTTCCCCCAAACCATGAATTTAGTCTTTTTTTTTTTTTTTTAAGATTTTATTTATTTGACAGGAAGAGACACAGCGAGAGAGGGAACACAAGCAGGGGGAGTGGGAGAGGGAGAATCAGGCTTCCCGCGGAGCAGGGAGCCCGATGCGGGGCTCGATCCCAGAACCCTGGGATCATGACCTGAGCCGAACGCAGACGCCCAATGACTGAGCCACCCAGGCGCCCCGAATTTAGTCTTTATAATCACTAAATCCTCTGGCCGTGTTACTCTTCAGATCTTCTGCAGAGCAGGGGATTGGGCTAGAGTTTCTCTCCTAACTGGATTCCACAGTCACCTTTTCCAGTGCTCTGGTCCCTGCCCCTCGAGGCTCCTACTGGCTCTATCTAACTGTATTTCACCTCCATAGAGCTCGGGGACGCCAACCTAGTTCTCATGTTCATTGTTTAATCATCCCTTTAAGCAGCATTTAGGTGTATAACCCCAGCCTACACAGGGTAGAAGTCTGATTTTATGAAAAGAAGGCAGAGTAAGTGATACCCAGGATTGCAGAGTATTGGAAACAACACAGAAAGCTTGGAATAGTATCTGAACAGTGTCCTCATTGTTTCTTAGGAGAAGCTGGGTAAAATTCAGTGTTAATATCTCAGGGGGGTTGAAGGGAGTTGAGATATGCAGCCGTAAGCACAAACATCTGTTGAATGTTCTATAGTTTTCACGCATATTCTCTTTGTAACAGTCTCAGGACGTTCGGGGGCATTATCCCCTTCTCCAGAGAGGAGGCCGAGGTTTGATGGGAGTCACATAGCCATTACGTGGCAGAGATGGGACTTCGGGGACAAAAATCTCACTGTTCTTTCTGTTATAGAACAAGTGGTCCAGGGATGAGGAACTTTCAGCTTCATTAAAAAAAATAATCTACTTTTTAACATTGCTGCAGTTTTTGAGTATGATCAGATGAAGGCTGAGGAACTGTACAGTTAAGCTGTATAAAGTCACAGAATGCCCAGAGAGGCTGAACATGAACTCCCCCTCCCCCGACCCACCCCAAGAAGTAATAGGTACTTTCTGAATTAAAAAAATAAAGTTTAGGGGCACCTGGGTGGCTCAGTTTAGCGTCTGTCTTCGGCTCAGGTCATGATCCCAGGGTCCTGGGACCGAGCCCCGCATCGGGCTCCCTGCTCCGAGGGAAGCCTGCTTCTCCCTCTCCCACTCCCCCTGCTTGTGTTCCCTCTCTTGCTGTCTCTCTCTCTGTCAAATAAATAAATAAAATCTTTAAAAAAAGATGAAGTTTAGAAGCAAAAAGTTCACCTTTAAAGAATGCATAGGCAGAGTGTGTTTCCTATGGTTACAAGGGTTAAAATGTTAAACAGATTTAATAAGCGTTTAGAGAAACATTTTTCTTTTGAGTTTGATCACTTTTAAAAGGATCTTTTGGGTGACATGACCTTCAGTTCTAATAATAGACCCACCGTTCTGGGTTTATGAAAGGAAAGAGTAGAAGTGAACATATGCAGTCTGGACTTCTTACCTAACCACTGCTGTAAGACAAATGGCCTTTAATTCCCGTCACTGTGAGGAACCCTCCAGAACATTTCATTTTATAATTTGTATGCCCATAAGACATCAGTTCGTGGTCTGGTTCAGTCAGCCATCAATCAAGGAGCTTGTGAGATGTTAGTTTTCTTCTTCTGGCAGCTTCTCTGTAGAGATTAATCTTGCTGTTGGGTAATAATTGAGCCTCTGCAGGTCCCATAGCTTTGCTCAGAGCAGTGACTGAATAATATTTAATACTGAAGCTGGAAACTTATTTTTTTGCCATTGTCTCCAACCCTTTATACTTCTTTCTGAATGGAACTGAACTCATATAAAAAGCCCAAAGTACAACTTGGATTTGATGTAGAAGAATTCTATGACACCTAATTGCACAGATTTCTAAACTCCTTTTCAGACCGTGTAGATGGGAAAACAAAGAGCTTGACAGTATTGAATAATAAACATGACTTCTAGCCTATAGCTTGCATCAAGGTCCTCACCTTCTGTTTATCTTATCGACGCTGAAACCTAGAATCACATGAAAAATGTCCTTTAATATATACATTTTCAGAACTTAAAAGCATGGAAGCCCTTACTTCAAGTATCTTTTGAGGTTGGAGAAATTCTAGTGAGGGAAATACTATTCTGAGTAACTTGTGATTATAGAAGGTCATTGGATTATATAAAAGGCATTGATGGGCGCCTGGGTGGCTCAGTTGGTTACGCGACTGCCTTCGGCTCAGGTCATGATCCTGGAGTCCCAGGATCGAGTCCCGCATCGGGCTCCCTGCTCGGCAGGGAGTCTGTTTCTCCCTCTGACC